ACACCCGTGGGAAAAAATAAAAACCAGTAATGATAAAGTAGGTTGGAGAGAAACCGAGGTCATTTATAAGATATAAAAAAGTGTTTCTGTCATCATTTGACGTGATTTCAGAAAAAGGAGAGAAGAAGCTTTCAAAGTGATTCATAAATTCAGGAACGGCATTTGGAAAATCCATCTGACTGAGCTAGATCTTCAACATTAGCAGCCTCTATCTATTCACATTATCTCTATTTATCTCACACTAATAACTTAATTATATAGAGACGCCCTCTGCTACAAACCGTACGTTCCACTAAGCGGTCACAACGATCAAAATGCTCGTATAACCGTTCCACATAATGATCGCGGTCGTTGTAGTCGCCTCGAAAACGTCACTCATGACGTCATTACTGTCGCTGACGGCAAGCTCACGAACCATCTGAAGAGTGGGTCGAAGTGGACGTTGAGAATATTTCGGCGCAATTTTTGAAATATGACATTGGTCATTTGTAATTCATTTCTATAATTTAACTCATTCAGTCTCATAAGTGATCAATTGAATAATTACTTACATAAAATGAAGTAAATTTAAGGGTAGCATAAATTTAGAGTATAATCTAAGTATGCAATTAGACATAACATTTTTGAAATATACAGTGTAATATGTGATACAAAATAATGTACCTGAAATGACTTTTGAATTCTTCATCTGAATAACGATGAAATACATTCTCATAATCGATAATACGTGGCCTAAGTTTTTGGTTTTCACGATTATAATTTTGTAAAGTTGCATTCTATTCTCTATCAGAACTAATATCTGGAGCACTATTGCGACACATCTACAAATCTCCAATTGCCGTATAAGACATTTTGATTACATTCAAACTCAATTTGTTTAATAATTTACACTTCTTTTTCAATATGAATAAAGTTAGCTTGCTATTATTGAAACTTATTGTTAAGGTTTACGTAACCTCATTAAAACTTCTACCACCTTTTACTTCTATACGGTGCTTCTACTTCATTTTTTTACCCTTGTCATTTGTTAGTTTCATAATCCATTTCACTTGAGTTTACGCTCGCAAGCAAGTGGAATGGGAAAACTGCGGTCTAGAGCATGATCGTCGTGAGCGCTTAGTGGAACGCACAGAAAAAATCCTCCTCGGTCGAAATGCATTTTATATAACAGAATTAGTCATTGGAAATTAGAGGTAAACACGTACATATAATTAAAAAAAAAAATAATCATCATATATATTAATTCTAGGTATACAGGCAAACTTTAAAAAATACATAACCTTCTTGTTGGTTGTTTATTTGGGAATTTGATTGTTTTCGTTAATCAACTACAGTGTCTCTTTTGGGTAATGGAAAAAATGAACTACCTAGGTTGAAATAAGTTTATTTGTATAATTACCAAGACATACTGTAAAAACCTAGTAAACCAAGTGAAAACAGTGAACTTTCAAATTAAAATTATTGAAAGACGACTTGTTTTTGTCCACTAATTTCAATATTTTCCGACAGATAATAAAATATTGCAGTAAATGTTAGTGAAGATATTCTTATCGTCTGCTCATGAAATTCCTCAGTGTTAGGTGTCTTTTATGAATTTCACCTTCCTTCGAGGCCGATTTATAAGAACTTAAAAGTAACTTTTGAAAAGAAAAGACTTCAATATTCAGTTTGAATATTGAAAGAAATATTAATAGGAGGATGTGTAGTCACAGAGTATGGTTTTCAATTTCCACATCGAAGGTAATTTAGCTATCGACTCAAACGTTTTGTTATTAGTTACCTACTTGAATTTTGTTCGTTCTAACAACCGAGAAAAGTGAGCAAACTACTATGCTATTAATCGTATATATGAAGAGTTTTTATTTAGCAAACAGGTGGGCAAATTATATAAATGATTTTTAAAATTTATGAGGTTATCAACTCTCGGAATGTTTGATTTCCAACAGGGTACATAGTGATGTAGATAATTTTTTCGGTAGAGGGAAAATTCTCGTACTTTCAGTTATATAAAGTAAACGAACCAAAAGATCCAGAGTACTTTTAGAATTCAAATACTGTTTACAGTGTCCATTTCATTATGTATTGTATCCATGTAATCGAAAATACCTCAGAGTAATACTCTGAAGGAAATACATTTATGTTACGTAACCTCAAATACCAAGTATTGCCAACTAGTAGAACTATAAACTCGCTGCACATGAATCAAAATTCCGCAACAAATTTGCTACGCTTGCATATCTGACGCAATCATGCGCCCTATCCAAAATTAAGATGAAGCCATTGTATGGCGAAACACGTGTTGCGTTTTTGTAAAACAATTTAGTGAAAATCTCACAATAAAGTGTTTTTGGAATACGTTACAGAACTTACAGTTATACAGTTTGTAGTTTGTGTACCATTCAGATACCACCAAACTGAACTGCCACTGATGTAAGAATTAGGATTATGCTAATTTTCAACCGCGCAACTCAGTAGATGGAACCTAATTTTCTAAGTTTACAGCAGTTAATTTTTGAAAGCTGTCGTCTTGACCAAATATTTCTTAGCTTGAGAAAATGATTTCGAAAAGTAAAAATAAAAATCAATTTGTTCACGTACGTATAGTCACACCGAGCTCTTGAACGATCATTCGCGACAGGTCTAATTCATCCATTCAAGTTGGAATCAGACAATGTTGAGAAAAAGTTTGTTTTCGAGACATTTGTATTTTTTTGAACATGTCCTATTCCCGTCAATTCCAACTGCGAAAGCTCTTTCGCTCGAGTCATAATCAGATGAACTATCTTCTATTTCCACTGTAATTTGTTTTATTTAAGTTATAATACTCGAGACAGTCGAGACTTCAAGATATTGGAGGTTATATGGTTTATGATAAGAAATAAGAATCAAAATATTCAAAATTATTCTTCTTCTCATTCATCATGTAATGGCCTCACTACTAAGACTATAACGTATTAGCTGTCAGCTTGGAGTGCTGTCTGCGGATAGTCTTGGTTGCTGAGGCCATTGAATCGAAAAGAAGAAGGAGTGCTGTCCACTGCCTCTTTTTCTTCCATATTTTTTAAAATATTGTTTATAGAAAATTCCGCGATTTTATGTTCAAATCCGCTACGCCGCTATCGTCGAATAAATTCAGCTACAGTAGCGGAATTTCACTACAGTTTGCAACTCTATACCAACTAACAAATTTAAACAAATAAAAACATCCAAGAAACCAACCCAAACGAATTTCGACATGAATACGCATGCACAACAAGAACACTTCTCATCAGTTCAGCCACAGAATAGTAAACAATGTTCAGCCTCGATAGCAGGAACGATTAATGATAGTAAAAGTTATCGAAAATGCAGTTAGGAAGGGGTTATTTTCATAAAATAATTGAATGACAAATAAACAGAATATCAAACCGATGAAAATACAATACTTGAAATGGAATCCTTATCCGGTAATAAATACGGTAGTGTAAAAACGTCCATAATTTCACATTTGTCTTGCGATCACATTTGAATAGGCTATTATTACAGACATATTGGTTAATTTTTGTGTGTACGATAGCTATCAGACTTTTCAATTATTCTTTGTCTAAGGAACTATTCAATGGACTGCTAAGGAACTATTCAGTGTTGCCACTATAAAATTTTCGGGTATAAATCGACTGACATTTTCTAGGTCTTTTTTAGAATAATTCAAAGTCGGAACAGATAGAATTTTTAATTTTATAGTTGTTCCTGGATATATGAATCGAAGTATTAAAGTTTATATGAACAGAAACAAAAAATCCTAGGGAATTTTAAGTTTGTACGTTGTTCATTAGTCTGTCATTTTATCGTCACATGTCATAAACCATATGAAATTTTTTTGTTGTATTAACTTATTGTTTATTGTATTCAGTAGAACAGGATCGTTCTGATAAAAAAATGTCTAATCATCTTTGGAGTTTTGCAACTGAATGGTCTTCAATCAATAAACTGTCTTTTAATAGGGCATCTAGAACATTCTCTGATAATAATAATGGTATAAAGATATCATACAACACCTACATAATACACTTTCAAAACGTAACTACTCAACAGAAACAAACTGAACACTGAAATGTTATGTTTGTGACAACAGGTAAACATATATAGGGGACAGGTTTCGAACAGTTGAACAACCTAAGAAGTAAAATTTCCTAGGATTTTCTATTTTTGTCCAACTTCAATAATTCGATACATATATCCGGGAACAGCCAGGAATCTATAAAATTATAAATTCTATCTGTTCCGACTTTGAATTATTCCAAAAAAGGCTTAGAAAATTACAATCAATTTATACCCGAAAATTTTATAGTGGCAACCTTGAATAGGGGTACTGGAATCGTCCATTAGAATAAGATATGATTCTATTTATCAGAGTTGCCAATACGGAATTTTCAAAATCTTTACTAGGGCAGAAAAATATCCTCACATTTTACAGAAAACTCTTGATTTAAAATAAGAAGTATACAAAATAAGGTATTACCCATATTTAGCAATATGTAAAAATGTGGATCTCACTGACAAGCCACTCCTCAAATCCAATATAGCAACAAATGAGGTAATAATTTGAAAATACTGAAAAATCAAAAAACCAATATATTCGAAAGCTGGTAGAATGGTCAGCGAAAATTCCATATGAAATATAGTTTTTCATGATCTATTCATGCCTTAGATATTGATTCTCCAGAAAATCTTAACATTTGAATGAATACTTACAAATTGCTCTCATGAGTATCAAAATGTGAGGGATTCCGATCACATTGGTAACTTTGTCATTTACATATAGGAACTTGAAATTTGGTAAACAACATACAACAATTATGAATGAGTAAGTATATATAGTATATATCTTTTCCCTCAACTCAATGGTCTTTTAGTCGAAAAACTATGTTTGCAACACTGGACTGAAATCTGGCTGTTTTCTGACGTTGTATTAGGGACATGCGCACAGCACAATTTTTCAACAAATAGGATTCTCATACAATTCTGGGCTCGCCACGCTACCGCCAGCTTCGCCATCTCTGATTCTCATCAAAAAGACGCTTCCATTGCGATACGCCCTCACAGGTCATTTTTGGAGTTAACTGAGGTAAGGTTTTAATTTCATAAAATTATTCGCATCTCAGGAATGTACACAATTTTTTACATAATTTATTTTAAAGTGGCTCGTTTCTTTATCTAAATATGTCTACGTTGTTGGTTGATTACTGAATTTTACAAATGAAATCGTAGATTTTGTCTGCAGCAGTACACCTAACCCTGGTCCATTTTATTGATGACAGCGCCAACCGTGCTAATTTCTAGAAATTTTTGTTGAAATGCCCCCTACATCCAGCTCCTATAAGTAGGTGAACCAAGAAATTTTGCAGCTATTTATTTATTAACTTTATTGTTTAAAAAGTTGTACCTTCAAATAGAAATGCATTATAATTTCATTACGTCAATTTATAAAATGGCGTCAGTGTATTTTTTCGACCGTTGTCAACAAATCTGGTCTGGGAAAATTTTGCCCCAAAGTAGTTTGATGCAAATAATCCCTTTTCATGACTATAAAGGTGAGAAAAAATTTAAATTCGTACATTCCATTTATATTAAAACACTTTGTTCAAACGTAATTTTGTATTGAATTGTTTCCTGATCTGTTTATTTTCCAGCACTTTTCTGCAGAAAGGAATATCCCAGACGTTTATGTTGATGTCAAAATGAGTTCTCAGTTTACTGAAGGAGCGACCATCAAACTAGAAGAAACCTCTGAAAATGTTACTGAGATACAGTCTTATTTGGCAGGTTTTCAGAAAGAAATTGGAGACTCTTCAACCCAACAAATAACAGGTTAGTGTCTCCTTTCTCAGAAACAACTAGGGTACAGAATCCTTTTGTGTATGTTATTTTCTATATTGTGGACTTGTATGTCATTTTTTTTTTAATTAATGGTTTACTCATCATATTTCCTAAGATTAAGAATTAGGAGTTCCACTATAAGAAAACAACAATGACTTTTATAGAAAATCTACTAAGACTATGAATTGAGAACTATGCTTAGAAAGATGCCCATCATTCAACTAAGAAGTTAGGTCAAAACGAAAATTAGCATTCACGGAATTGAAATATTTACAGCTGTCATTCACCACAGAAATTCAACAGTTGTTTCAGATTTGTCTATCATAATAATTGCAAAAATGAATGAAGGTGTCAATTATTATTTTTTGTTAATATGGAATTGTTTTCAGTAACAGAGTACTATATCAAACGAACAATAATTGTAGTAATGTTAATATGTACACTATTCTTAGGTATGGTCTTAGTTTTCAGGAATTGTTGCATATTCCTGCTATTACTTTGTTAGTTTACTTAGTTTTTCAAATCATCTAAAGGAACAATTCGTTCAGGCCAGTCTCAACTCCCTACACTGTAGGTTAATGGACTGACACCTATCAGAAAACGACTATTCCCCTGGCTAATACCACGAAGGGCGTTGTATTATATCGGACAGGTGTCAGTGCAGGATTCTTCACTGAAGTTATACCTGTATATGCTGTTGCTGATACAACTACCGCAATATATTTTCAATTATTACAACACACAGACCGGTTTCGGGTTGTTGGGCCACTCTTCAGTGCAAGGTAGTGTCTATCATCAACATAAAGTCGCTGATTTTCAATAATTCAAAATCAAATTCCTTCAGAGTGTCATTCCTCGACCTAGGCTGAAGCGGACAACAAACAGCCGGTTTGTCATCGCCCCATCTGCCTGTGAACGAGGTAACCTAACCTGTTATACATCAGCACTCTTTCAGTTGAAGGTTTGCATGATATTTCAAATGAATTACGTTGTTATTAGCAAATAATGTAATTCTTCCTTTTCCGTTTTGAAGGACAGTGCTACTAAAACCATAAATATCTAACATGCAACTATGTGTAACAGCAGTATTTCTTTACAACCAAATGTCTGATGACTTTTATAACATACTTGAGTTTTAACTATTTTATCTCTGTGTTATCAACTTGATAATTTCAATAAATACCTATTGGCGTTTATGACATTGAAAGGAAAAAGGTAATTTTTCACAAAACTATTTATATTTGATATAAATGTGATAAACATTTTGAGTTCCAGCTTTTTCAAAATTTTATTCTCACAAAAAGTTGTTTCATTTAATATTTCATGAGAACTTCTTTAGCCTGTTTCTTGGTCAAGAAAACATTAAAAAAGGATATGCGATAAGTTGTACCTTTGACTGCTATGTTGAAATAAGGAATTTCTGTCTTCTTTCCTATACTTATATTCTCTACTGTTCCTTTTTTGAATCCATCATGTCGAAAACTCACTTCTTCATCTATCAGAATTTGAAAATGACTTATGGTGTTTTTGGGTTCCATATCAAGTACTGCTTTGCTACGAAAAAAATAAACGCGATATCCATTTTTTATATAGATCGATTTTCCCAATTTCATTGCTGGCCACATCTGTCCTTTGATTTTTCTTGCAAACAGTAACTGAAATGGTTCAAACCTGATGTTGTTGACTAAATGTAGTCAAATAGTTTACAACTTCAAACACAAGTTTGTATAGATGCTTTACTATTTTTAAGTCAATGAAAGATACTTACAATAAAGGTGTCTCATTTTCGGAACTCTCTGATGAACTGGAAACAGGGGTTCTATGCTGTTTTGAGATGGACGAAGCATTTTTCATTTTGGCAATTCAATTTTGACATTTTGATTTTGACATATTCTTTAAATTTTTTATATATAATGATTTATTATATGGCCAACTTTGAGTGTAATCTTTGTCTCGTTCCAAAAGATACAGAGGGTCAGTTATAAATAATTTCTATAATTAGTGAATTTAATTGATTCCCAACAAAATATTCAACTGTTCAGCCTAGAAAATTCTTATTGAGCTCTAATGAAATACCCATCAATTGCTTTGTTTTTGAACTATTAGTTGATATCTTTCCTCCACAATCTGTTTTATTAGTTGAACACCATTAATCTTTTTAAATGATTTTCTATGTAATGGAATAATCTTTTTCTTATTAGAACTAGAATAGAATAAAACAATTCCTTACCAAAAGCCTTACCTTCTTTGATATCTATGGAGGAATATTTAAAAAATTTCAACTAATAGGATATATGAAAAGTACTTCATTTGATTTTTTATTTCAATCATAAGTATGTTCACACAGCTGTAAGAGTAATAGAATAAAAGCGACCTAGATATTGTATATATACATAAAAATAGCAGTTCGTAACCTCTCTTTAGACATAAGTCTCACATAAATGGGATGGTTGTGCACTAGAAATTACTTATTATTTGTTGAAATATATTGGAGTCCAATCATTGAAAATTTTGTAGATGGAAATCATACCATATTAGAAATTAGTTGAGATACTCGGAGCCATTTTAATATCTTCAGCATAAAAAATATTAGAGTTACCTGAATAGTTCATCAATGATTTGCAGTTTTTGTAGTTTTACTGTTTTAATTTGAAGTAAAGAATAATAGATTGAAAAAAAGCCTTTCTGATCTGCACTAATAAATCTCTTGCAATTGTAGAAAGCATTTTTTTTTTGGTATTTTCGCAAATATGTAGTGGAGATATTGATCAAATTGTAACAGATTATCTAGTTCCAATGTTTTCATTTTCATTAGCCATATTTATATTGTTTTCATTAGGATTAACCTTGTTACATTTATAATCATTCTTAATAACATTCAATAACATCCATTACTACTGACTTTGAAGTAATGGGTGTTATTTCTAATATTCAACAACAATTAGAGACTATTATCTCTCGATTTGCAAAAGGCATTTGACACAGCTAATCATAATATTTTATTGAATAATTTGAATAGCATGTCATGGAATTGGTCGATACTTAATGAAAATCCATAATGTATCTAAGAAATACTTTATTTTGAGATTTTCACTACAAAGTTTACAAAACCAGCACATGTCAGTAGTATAGCATACTACCACTACTAGTATACTATACTACTACTATACTACTGTGGCCGACAAAAACGAAGTTGAGTTGTCAGACAAAATAAATAAAATAATAGATAAATTCAGTGCTTGGTGTCAACGTAACAAACTTATTCTGAATAAATCTAAATCTGTTTCAATGAAATCATTTATTAGGAAAAATTTCAGCAGTGACTCTTCCACAATAAATGGTATTCGATCTTCCAGCGAAGTCTTGTTTTTAGGAACGTCTTTAGACGAAAATTTGACCTGGAGCGGTCATATTCAGAAGGTCTGCAACAAACTCAATTCCGCATATTACTCAATCAAACAATTGAAAAACACTCTAGATAATTTTGGATTGATGAATGTCTATTTTTCTATGGCTTATTCTCACATCAGCTTTAATATCATTTCTTGGGGATGTGCAAGGGAATTTCCACGAGTTTTTGTTGCTCAGAAAAGATTGCTGAGACTAATTTTTAATATAGATTTTCAAGATAGTTGTAGACCAATTTTCTTAAGAGAGGGCCTATTGACGGCACCTTCTTTATTTATCTTGAAGTGTGTCACTTTTGCCCGTAACAATATAACTGAATTTGTCACAAATGCGGATATACATGGTAGAGACACCCGTCATGGGAAACTGTTAAGAACCCCCTCACACAAAACGGCTCACTTTAGATGCTCCCCACCATTTAATACAACAAACTGTTATAATAACTTGCCGGCATCTATTAGGAAAATCGAGTCAGATAAACTTTTTAAAATTGAGGTGAAGAAACTTCTCTTACAGAAGTGTTACTACAGTCTTGAGGAATTCTTGCACGACACTTTTTCATGACATTTTGAGAGTATTTGCTAGAGCTTCTCCGATTTTTTATATAATACTTCTATGTTGTGAAAGTTTGTGGACGTGAACCATATTTATTGTTTTTGTATTGTTCAACTTCTGTAGTTTTATTTTTGTTTTTTAATTATGACTTAGCACATGTACTCAATGTACCAAAGTGTCAAATAAATAAATAAAACTAGTAGTATACTAGTATAGACTCGCCTGAAAAAGCTATCGTATAGGGTGGGGGTTTTGTAAACTATGTAGTGAAAACCTCACAATGAATTGTTTCTTGAATAATTTTAATAGTATTGGTATTTGAGGGATTATTCACAGATGGTTTGAAAATTATTTATCTTAACAGAAAACAGTTTGGGAGTTAAGGAAAAAGTACCAGTTCATTGAAAACTATTACTTGCAGAGTTTCACAAGGGCCTATTTTTTAGTCCAGTTTCATTTCTGTTTCAAAAATATTGTCAAAAGGAAATACTTACTAAGTTATACGCGGATGACATAACATTACTTTATTTTTGTAGCGATACTAAAGAAATTTGCAATAACATGATTGATGACTTAATGTTGCTGACTTCTTGCTTGAATTATTATAAATTGAGTTTGAATTATGAAAAGTCTTCATATTGAGATGTTAAAGAAGAAAATCGGTCCAATTTTAGGAATACTCTTTAAGTTTACAAATTTTATTCCTTTGAAATATCTTATATTTCTGTTTGACATATTCCAATCTACAATTTTCAGTGTTCATCAACGGAGGAAAATGAAAATGCTTGTGTTCCTTGATAAAAATAGATGATTATTGCTTTCAGGCGATGACAATGAAGCGGGACAAGAAGAAGGAACATATTACGTGGACCAAGCTGGTCATTACTACTTTCAAGCCAAAGGTGATAGTACTCCAGTGATGACAGTAATGCCGTCAATAGACAACTCAGGAGGAGAAGGCGAGGAGTACATTATCAACCAAGAAAATGATGAAGAAGGAGAGGATGCGGATGAGGTATTGATTTCATTTTTTATATCACAGTAGAGTATATCAAAACATAACCGTTATTATTGATTGTTTATATAGACCGCCATCAACATCACAAATATTATTTATGAATTCGTATACACAATCTAATACCAGTATCCTACGGAGCTAATATTAACATTGATATGGAACAGAATACCTATTGGTCAATAATTAGAATAACAAAGTTCATAAAGTCAGCAAGAGTTGCATAAAATATCTATTCTTGAAAACTGATAACTTTATTGATAACTTTATATTTTTTATTCCACTTTGTGCATTTGACTTATCTTATTTGTATTACTATTGTACATCTAAAAGATTAATAAATTTATCTATCTATCTAACTGTCCAAGTCCTACTTGCAAGATCTGTTGATGGTGGAGCGTTTACTTTGATGCCACGCTAGATATTGAATTATATCCAACAGACATTTAGGCAAGATACCTCGCAGAGGTTAGTCTCGCAGAATCTACGGGATTGGTAGTCGGGAGAGATGAATATATTGAGATTTTATTTTGAAACATTCATTTTATAGATATTAGTTATTGTTTTTCTGGCCATATTCAAGTATTTTCATAATATTTTTGTTCTGTTCCTTGGGCTGCAGTAAGATCATGAGCAAAGTATATTTTTCAGTTTTCTGGTGTTTGCAAATATTTGTTTTTTTTTGAAATAGGATAGGAAGAGTTCTACTTCGATTGGAAACTAAATGAACAACCAAGGAAAATATTTATGTCTCCATGAGTTAAGAATACCTAGAGTTTTTTAATTTCTTCACATGTAAACTCCTGAGTAGCTTCAGTAGCACTTTTATACAAGTGAAATAATAAATAAAAATAACGACCTAGAAAGTGGGATGATATTTACATGGAGTTTTCAGCTCCGGTTCAGATTAATATTGTTCGATAAGAATAAGTAAATGAAGTATCAAGATGTCCTCTTTCAACTTAGCAGGCTCTATCCAGGCCACTCTGTTGAGATGATTGTCCTGATTATTGGACCCTTTGATGGAATAATGTCCTTTCTACTTTCAATCTCACGATAATATTGGTTTGCGACATCAAGAAAGAAGACTTTTCCGGACAAATGCAAAAGACTCATTCTTAGCTCACTATATCTACTTAGGGCACTTAATTCTCGGACCCAATTATTATTATTGTTATTTTATAATATATTTCATATTTGATGTTTAGTAAAGTTATAGTTGACAGTGGTTCTTAATAAATATGTTTTCATTTAAGCCTATAATTCAACAAGGAGAAAATAATCAGATTGTTATCAATTCCGGAAATGCCTATCAAAGGGTGACAGTTGTTCCAGCAGATAACAATTCTGGAGAACTTAGCTACGTTCTTATAGTGCAAGATCCAGATATGAGAGATGGAGAACAAACGGATGGTGAACAAGATATGGCAGGTAATAATGCTAACAGTTATTTCAAATATATTCTTCCATTATGAAGAAGGAACGATTTTCATTTGTATGACTAATCATAGAGTTGTTTCACTTTTTTCAAAATAGTTTTTCATATCATTTGTGGATCAACAGTTCGTTTGATTGCATACTTGATTATAATGTGTTATTCAAGATGGTTCCAATCTAGTAGTACTCATATTGGCAATTGTTCGTGCACTTACGTTGCATAATTTTTTAAATTGATTATTGCGAGTTCAACATGTTTGAAACGAAATAATTTTTCATATATCTAGTGTTTCTTTGTTATTCAGTTTTATCAACATATTTTTTATCGATTTTCATGAAAAACTATTTTAAAAAGCTTTTTGGCTTTTACTTCTCCATCTTCGCACAAAAAACTGTGTCTGAAAGTAACTTCTATGCATGGTCTACATATTTTTGTGAAGAGTTTATTTTAAAATTAATTGCTTTCTTCCTTCCATTGGAAGTTTTGCACAATTTTTTTGTATAAAGATGGAAATGTAAAGACAAATCTTTTTTTTTGAAAAACTAGTATCTCCTAAAATATACTACTTTCAATTTAATTTTATATTGCCGATTTTCTGAAAAATAAGTGAGAAGATAATCATTCATCGTCGATCATCGTGAAGACGTTAACCTTTTTTTGCTATTCAGGAGCCATCTAAGTTGTCCATTTCTTTCAAGTCTTTGGAAAACACCGCAGCATTATGGGCTTATTGCGTTTTAGTTTCTATCTTTCAATAAATAGAAAAGTCACCTATTTATTAACAATAAATTCCTTTATTGCATCACATGCAGCTAGGTCTCTGTTCACAGCCCTATTTTGTTCAGATGTCCTGTAAACGGACAATGTTCAGTGAGTAGCCCTGCTGTGTTGAAGCAGTTTTTCAGTTATTCTTTTAGATGGTTATTTTATAAAGGTTTTCACTTGTGTCTCATATTGACCTGTTTTCCTATCTAGCCCCAAAATATAACCGCTGGTTTAGTGCCAATATATGGAGCTGATGATCAATGTTTAGCATACTCATCAACTTTTTACACACCTGTGATTCCTGAGTGTCCTGACACAAAGTATATAGTCGGTATCATCCGTCTTCAGTTCTTATCAACTCATCAATATTTCAAAAGACCTTTATCAAATATCTTTATAGCTTCAATGCCATAAAATGTCACTGAATTTTCAAAAATATTTATATATGTATCTACGTTTACAGAACTACAAGGAACCTACAGTCAACTTGTATAAACTGAAAAAAGTATTAGATTTGCATCCATATATACATTCAAATTATATACCTTCATTTATTTGGTCAAATCAAATCTGACTTTCAGAATCAATGGTGACTAACAGAACCATTGAACAATATATTCAAGCAATCTAAAATTAATGAAAATGAAAACAAATGTTGGGCAAAATTCGATTTATTTTAAAGTAATCAAGTTTTACAATGAGCTACTGAATGTTTTAAAAAATTTCAATAAACAAAGATTCCGAATTAATTTGAAAAAATATTCATTGTTTGTATAGATATAATATCTAATGAGTGCATTTATGTGTATGTTGATAATAATATGTATGTATTTTTTTTGGTGCTCTGTTCATACTCGGCTATGTAATGGTTGGTTTTTGAATTATCGTTTTTTCCCTGTTATAAACATTGTTGTTTCTTGAGAAAATAAATCATTACTATTATTTATTTTATTGAAGCCTTGTTCACTGCGAGATTGCATACACTGTCTTTTCCTCCATAATGGTCGCCTATACCAATCTTCCTCTAAATATGCACTCTATTTAGCTGCAGCTTATATCGTTGATTCTTCTTTTCGTTGACACCTGAAAGATTTTTAAGAAAGCAGCTGAAAGTAGATTTTTGGTTCAAATAAGCATAGTTAGCTTTTTCTGGGACCTGGCATAAAACCTTTTTCATCGACATACCTGGCCTGTATGCATATTGGGCGTGATGCATAGTACACTATGCATCATGGCTGTAATTTGTCTCAATACCTTGCAGAGTCTTGCACATTTTCCAAGGTTTTGGAATGAAGCTGGTCCTAATGGGTCTCATAAATTCTACAAGTTTCAAAGTTATAAGGGATTAGTTCGCAAATTTCATTTTCATAATTTCAAGTATATTTGTTATTTAGAAATAAATCTCTATTTTTTAATAACTCTCACCTTTCCTTAAGATAACGGAAGTAATTTTTTTTCATAATTAAATTTGTTTCCTGACAAATTCATGGTGATACCAGAGAAAGGTTAGTTTAATAAGAAAACATTTACAGTATACGATTTTGATGATGCTGAGGATGGAGTGGCGGTGGATTCCGATATTGAAGATGATAAAAGTAAAATAGTTAAAATTCTACCCAGGAAGTCCCAAGTGGTAACCCAAGCTCATATGTGTAACTACTGTAATTATACTAGCCCAAAACGTTACCTGTTATCAAGGCACATGAAATCTCATTCAGAGGAACGTCCCCACAAATGCAGAGTTTGCGAGAGGGGATTTAAAACGTTAGCATCGTTACAAAATCATGTAAATACACATACTGGAACGAAGCCACACTCCTGCAAATATTGCGAAGCTGCTTTCACAACTTCGGGTACGTCGATGAGGATAGTTTTACAAGACTCATTTCATTTGCATGTCTCTTTATCATACTAGCTTTTAATTTTTAGGAGAACTTGTTCGTCACGTGAGATACCGTCACACTCACGAAAAACCTCACAAGTGCACAGAGTGTGACTATGCCAGTGTTGAACTGTCCAAACTGAAGAGGCACATTCGGTGCCATACTGGCGAGAGGCCTTATCAGTGTTCCCACTGCACTTATGCTAGTCCTGATACATTCAAATTGAAACGTCATATGAGGATTCATACAGGGGAGAAACCTTACGAATGTGACATTTGTTCTGCCAGATTCACCCAGTCGAACAGTCTCAAGGCTCATAAGCTGACACATAATAGTAAGTTGAAATTTATAGATAAACAATGCAGTCCAAAGCAACAGTTTACAATACCATTATTCAACCACACTTTGATTATTGTGCGTCATTATTATTTTTATTTAACCTCAATAATAAATTAAATATGCTACAAAATTGAGGGATGAGAGTAATCTTGAAAAAAAATCGCCGTACTCCCATAAAAATTATGCTTGATTGTTTGAATTGGTAATCAGTTGAAAGTAGACTACTATTTTACAATGACTCTAGTATACAAAATTGTCAATGGAATGGCACCAGAATATTTTGAAGATTACATCAAATTCAATAAAAACATTCATAATTATAATACAAGAAACTCCAATAATATACATATAAACAGACCGGCAGTCTGAAGTACCATGAATTCGTTATTTTTTAAGGGCTTCCACGAGTTCAGTGAATTACCGGAAGAAAACAAAAATCCATTTTAAATGATTTTAAAAGGGATAATAATCTTTATTGAAATAGGAAACCTAATATATGTATCTATGAGTGTAATAATAACACTAGCACAATGAAATATAAAAAAAATGTATGTAAAAAATTTTAAATTTAAACAATTTGAGATTTAAACTGGCATGTAGCCAGACAATGAACATTACATATAAATATTTCAGTATCATATGTTAAGTAACATTTAAATAGATAATGAAATATAGGTACACATATATACATCAAATTATTATTATAACAGTGATATTTGGTTTCATTACAAGTTACAAATACCCTAGTGAATAATTAAAAACAATAGACGATAGCCAATAATGTCCCAAATAATTCCACATAACTATACAATTTGTATTCTATTACTTTTTTTTTTAAATTCTTCAAAAAAATATTCTGGTGCCATTCCATTTAAAATTTTGTATACTAGAATCATTGTAAAATAGTAGAGTCTACTTTCAACTGATAACCAATTCAAACAATCAAGCATACTTGTTATGGGAGTACTGCGATTTGTTTTCAAAATTACTCTCATCCCTCGATTTTGTAGTTTTTGTAGCATAATTAATTTATTGAGGTTAAATAAAAATAATAATGATGCACAATAATCAAAGTGTGGTTGAATAATAGTATTGTAAACTGTTACTTGGGACTGCATTGACAAATTTTGTGCTATTCTACTGAAAAAATTTTTTTTTTTCGATATTTTCTTATGTATATATTCAAAGTCATTGTCAAAATTTAAAAAATTATCCAGTTGAAAATCAAGGTATTTGACTGATGACACAACTTCAATTTTTTCGTTATTGATATTGAGGTTTATACCGTTGATATCTAGAGAACTGTATTTATATTTCGTGGTGAATATCATTGCTTTTGTTTTTGTTATGTTTAACTTCAATTTGTTAGTGCATAATTACTCATTTACCGCTCCTAAAATCCTATTCATTTCATGAATAGCTCTATCTAAATTTAAATCGCTACACACAAGCAACGTATCATCAGCAAATAGGTTAATGAACTTAGATTCAATAAAAAGCTCTTAAAGAATTAAAAAAAAAAGTAATAGAATACAAATTGTATAGTTATGTGGAATTATTTGGGACATTATTGGCTATCGTCTATTGTTTTTAATTGTTTTAATTGTTCACTAGGGTATTTGTATCTTGTAATGAAACCAAATATCACTGTTCTAATAATAATTTGATGTATATATGTACCTATATTTCATTATCTATTTAAATGTTACTTAACATATGTTACTGAAATTTTTATATGTAATGTTCATGGTCTGGCTACATGCTACTTTAAATCTCAAATTGTTTAAATTTAAAATTTTTTACATACATTTTTTTATATTTCATTGTGCTAGTATTATTAATTATTACACTCAAAGATATGTATATTAGGTTTCAAACTTTCATTTCTAACAATAATCGGCCTATATCCAGTTTATTGAATTTTTGTGTCTTTGCAGTTTTTATAGACCTCTCTGTTTTAATCTATAAAGAACATGTATGGTACAGAGATTCGTTTTTTTCAGCTGAATCCAGTTATTAAAAAAATTAGTAGCAAAGAAATACGACGTATTGTGTTATTCCCTATGTGATCTGTGTAAGTTATATTAGTATTTCCTCGAGCCACCTAGGGAGTATCAGGTTTATATGCAATTCCATCAGTTTTATGGTGTAACGTAACAGAACCAATCCAGGAGAGTTTCAGAACTTGATATCTGGAAGATAACATTATATAAAGGTATAAAATTATATTTCGGGTTTGATTGACATTTTTCCTACAGTTCAACAGGAGATACACTGTTTTTTTTTCATTGATATTGATGACATTTATATTGTCAAGAACTGAGTAGTTTTCGTTATTTGGTAATGTCAAAAAAATTGACATCAGAAATATATGTGATATTTGATTTAAATTAGGTTGGTTGGTAGCCGGTCGGTTCAACGTGGGTGCTTTGGTCGGTGGTTCAAGCTGCAGGCTGAACCATCGATTTTCACTTGCTATTGTCCAACCCGTGTTATGAATCACACGTTAAAAGGTAAGACCTCGTTGGTCCTTAGATCAATAAACGTCATCCATTCAATCATGAACTGCCATCAAGAAAAAAGAACTCGATGTTTTCTTGAAATGATGAGCTTATGTTTTGTGGTAATATGGTCAATATATTTAGTAATCTAATGATCTTTTTTGTCTGTTATCAAACTTCTATATTATACTGGATGAGCTCCAATATGGAGGATATGCCAAATTTTTGGTACCTCTCTGTCCAACCCGTATTATGAATCACACGTTAAAAGGTAAGACCTCGTTGGTCCTTAGATCAATAAACGTCATCCATTCAATCATGAACTGCCACCAAAAAAAAAGAACTCTGTTTTCTTGAAATGATGAGCTTATGTTTTGTGGTAATATGGTCAATATATTTAGTAATCTAATGATCTTTTTTGTCTGTTATCAAACTTCTATATTATACTGGATGAGCTCCAATATGGAGGATATGCCAAATTTTTGGTACCTCTCTGTCACGGTAAATGTGGTACTTCTGGTGAAAATTTCAAGTTATAGATCGTGGATAAGAAGAGGAGCAGTGGATTGACCCACTAGATCACCTGATCTTGAACCATAAGAGTTTTTGATGGGGTTATTTGAAGTCTTTACTAATATACTTGTCAATATCTTCGACTCAAAAGATCGAGTCAGGCCAAAAATGCAGAATATAACACTTGTGCTACATAATATCAAAGACAAATTCAATGCAGTAGGTCAGAGTTTAGTGGACAATGGAGAATATTTATCGTGAATTTTTGTTTGTTTTTTTGGCATTGTAACTCATAGGATTAGTAATTTCAATAACATTCATTGTTTTGCAAAAATCACAAGGCTTTATGCCCTCTGCGTAAATTTTGGAATCAGCTCAGCAATAGAGCTCAAAAAAACCGAGTATTACTTATAAAAAGACCTATGACGACGTCATCACCTAAAGGTACATCACTTTGTGTTATTATTGTTAATACTCTAGTAATTTTTCCTTTCAGGAATCGCCAATAAAACTATTTCAGTCTACCAAAATTTTAATGACTTTTCCAAAATAATTTCTGACAGTCAATTTTTTTCTATAACAACTATAAGGTGAGCAAAAAATATAAAAACAAACAACAAATTGATTAATTAATAAATCTGAATAGCAAGTTTCAACAATTATAATAAAATTGAGGTTATACTTATTTGGCTGATAATGAATTTATGCATGAACTCACATATAATCATTGATGATAGCTTAGACTTATTTAGTACATCTGGTGCAACCTTCAAATCGAAATTTATATTGTCTTGAACATATATAATTAATGGTCACTGTATTTTTTAAATATTTGTATTTTCCAGTATTCTTTGATTTAGCGTTAATATTAGATTAGTATGTATAATGTAATGTGTTTGTGTTTTGTATATTTCATTGACAAACAGGAGTTACCTGTTTATAAATAAAAAAAATCATAATGAAGAAAAGATAATTGAAACTTTCTATGTTTTTTACCATAGAAAGTGTTAATTCTTTTTTCTTCATTATGATTTCCTACCACATAGTAACGGCTACATCCATCAATTTATTGAAAAAAAAACCATAATTTATTTTATTGAAGAAAGTATTTACGAGTATATTTTCAATTGTTTCAGTTGGAGACAAACCCATATTCCAGTGTGAACTTTGTCCTACAACTTGCGGTCGCAAAACGGATTTGCGAATTCATGTACAGAAACTGCACACTTCAGATAAACCTCTAAAATGTAAGAGATGTGGAAAATCGTTTCCGGACAGGTATAGTTACAAAGTAAGTTCAATATTCCATTGGGAAATATTTAAATTTGGTGGCTCAATACCACAAATGTACTGAGTTTCAAAAGAAATCTTTTGATGAATTTTTATTGTAGTTTCAACATCAACATTTTTTCCATTTGAGTGTTAAAGATAAGGATATTCAATAAAATCGTCATCGACAAATAAATTTACATCATTCAGGTAGTATATAAATACTAGCGGGCACTGTACTTCGACTTTGACTATAACTCTTTGCCTTGGTCTAGACAAATCCTCAGTGGAGCCGTCCATTCCTACCCTCTCGGCATTAACACTATTTCTCAGACTGTAGTTTCGAAAATATGCAAGTAATTGTGATGTACTGATCATTTTCCTGGTTGATATGGAAATTGATATATTTGATCCGATTTTTCGGTATCAACCATTTATGTAGCTATTTAAATACCATTTAAATAGTTTTCAATATTGGTAAAGATATTATCAATCCCAGTTTTACTGTGCAGTTGTATGTGGAAATTCACATATTCAATTCTAAATGAAAAATCTACTAGAATTTGTTTTTGAGCTCAAAGTGAAACAATATAATGAAATGTCCATCGTTATGATTTCAGTTACACAATAAATCACACGAGGGTGAGAAGTGCTACAAGTGCGATTTATGTCCCTATGCATCGATATCTGCTCGTCACTTGGAATCTCACGTATTGATTCACACAGATGAGAAGCCCTACCGATGCGATAATTGTGATCAATCTTTTCGTCAGAAACAGCTGCTGAAAAGACACCAGAATCTCTATCACAATCCCGAGTACATACCTCCGCCGCCGAAAGAGAAAACTCATGAGTGTCCAGAGTGCACCAGGGCCTTCCGACACAAAGGAAATCTAATAAGGTATGAAAATGTTAATCTGCTGCTAATCATAAAGTGCTATAGGGCGAAGCGCGGCCACCGACGCGCTATTTATACGGCCCCTGGCCGGTACCGCCGCAACCACTATGTCTTGAATCTGTAATATCTTCATGTAATATCTGTAATATCTTCCATCGATAAGAGAATCCCCTAGATACATAGTATTCAAGTTTTTGCAGCAGTATTTCATGATAACAGAATCAAATGCTTTAGTTGAATCAAAGAAAACTACTGTCACTACTCCATTATTGATCCGGGCTTAAATGTCATGTAAACGATTGAATATGGCATCAGTAGCATTTTTATTTTGAAATCCAAATTGTGAGCTGATTATGATTTTATGTTTCTGTAAAAAATCTTATTTTTAGGAAAGAAAGTTTTGATTTCTAATTCTTCAGCTTGATAGAAAAAAATGTGGGAATCTTCCAAAGAAAGGAAGGAAGCAGTCAATTTCAAAAAATTAACTCTAAACTTTCAGACACAAACTGGAAGAAAAAATTACACAAAAGAAAATACTTTCTAAATAAATATTTTTATATGAATGCTGAATTATACGAGAAACATTCTTTCTATTCCTTTTGTATCCCAAACATTCGTAATGGAATTGAATCAGATATCACTCACACGATTCCTACACAACATAATTAATGAAACAAGCAAATTTCACTGTCATCCTCACTGGTAGACATCTTGATGTTTCGCCGTAAGACACTTGCCTTGTTGGCTTTTCAGTACCAAATACGGATAACATTATAAGAAAAAACACTCAATTCGTTCATAAAATAACAACTTTTTGTCACGGAATGGGTCGAGTCCATCCATGTCACCGTGACAGTACGTAAATAATATTCATTCCCTTATTTGATCAAATCCCAGCCAAAGGAATTTTGTTTAAATTGAAAGGGTATATTTTTAGGTGAGAATAATTTTTTGGAAAAGAAAGTTTTTGCTTACTACTTCTCCATCTTGATACAAAAAATGTGGGAATCTTTCAAAGATAGGAAGGAAGCAATCAGTTAAAAAAAATTAACTCTGAATAAAAATGTGTAGATCATGCCAAGAGGTAACTTTCAGGCACAAACTGGAAGAAAAAACCCTCTTGAAACAGCAATTTCATATAAACATTGAATTACACGAAAGAAAAATACTTTTGAAACAAATACTTTCATATAAACGCTGAATTATAATAGGAAAAACATCATTCTTAGTTTTATTAATTTTTCTATTATTTTTGCTATAGTTGGAATGATAGTTTTGGTCGATAGCTTGAGGGTTCTTCAGTGTCACCTATGTAGTGGAATTATAATTGATATTTTAATGACTCTGGAAATTTTCTGGTATTGAATGAGTGATTTATAAGATGAACTAATATCAACAATGCTTCAGGTTTTCAATGATAATAGTTATTACTATTAATGTGTTGTTAATAGTGTTCATTGACAAAAATGCCATTTACCAAAAGATAAAATTCAAACCTACGGCCCAAAGAACTATAGTTTTGTAATTCAATTATCTATAAACTTATCAAAAAGTATGTGCTCTGTGCGATAATGTGGCATCACTTCCACTAGTAATGTACAAAAAAATTTGTTTGCCTGTTTTTAATCATTGGAAATTTTCACTTTATTAGACATATGGCGGCTCACGATCCTGACCCAACCATACAGCGTAAACAGCTCGAGCTGAAACTGGGTAGACAAAAGAAGATCCAATTGATAGATGGCCAACAGGTTGAGGTTATGCCTGGCATTGGTTCGGAGGATGAAGAAGAGATAGATATGATGGCTGTTGAAGGATCTGATGGTCAGCAGTATGTTGTCTTGGAGGTTATTCAACTTGATGGGGAAGAACAAGCGATGGTAGTTGGGGACGGAGGTGGTGAATTGCTCAGTGAAAACATTTTACCTGATCATGGTAAGCGAAATAACATATTCCTAGGTGTAAAGAATTTGGAAAGAAAAGTAATATAGTATAATTCAATAGTTCAAAATACACATGATTCAACAATTAGACACATCATGTTCTATGCCTATAATACAGCATTATAATTTTCATCATTTCAAATGTAAAGTTCAAAATAAATTTACATTATATTCGTTTGAAGGTGATTGACAATGTTTCATGATGAATTTCACTAGTTCGGACTTCCATTGTCTACTATATAAAATGATTTGAAATCCCTGAAACAACTAAAAAAGAAGAATTAAAAATGAGATAGCTGAAAATAATAATTATATTAACCAAAATAAACCTGAAATGAAATAATAGTGAAATAAAATACAAGTAAAAATAGAACAATTGAATAAATAAAAAAAAAATAAAGAAATGAAAAAAGAAAGAAAATAAAAATAAAAAGTGAAGAGATTCCAAGTCACGTTAGTTCACGACGTTTCGACTGTTAGTATCTACAATCGTCTTCGGGTGATGACCCGATGACGATGACTAAAAAATAAAAAAATTGAAATATTAATAAAGGCTGAAAATTTAAATTATCATTAACAAAAAATAAAAATTACAAGGTTCCAAACCAAGTTATGTCACGATGTTTCGACTGTTAGTATCCACAATCGTTTTCGGGTGATAACTGGACTTATTCCTCCGAGATCCGACTATTTATAGGCCATTCGAGTGCTTTCACCTATCCCCTCTTCCCTCTCTCCGCTTCATTGGTTTTAGCGGGAGATGACCGTTTGGCGGGAGTTGGTCGTTTTTTCGCTTGATTAGAGGTTTCCATATGTTACGTATCTCTACGCTATCTTGACTAAATGCGATGTTGGTCAAGCTAGGTAGGTAGGTAGGTAGGTCTAAAGTGAGTGGATATATTCGACCCTCCACCGCAACCCATAAGGGTTTATTGTGGCTCACACCTATTCACACTCGGCCAAATAAACCCAGCTTCTTAACGAAGCCGATTAGTTTGTATGGTGAGTGGTTTTTCAGGTCAGATGGTGAGAGTACGGATCTGCCGAACTCAAAGAACCCGATTCGGTCCCCAGCGGGGCAGACACAAAGTATATGCTCTGAAGTTTCATCATTTTCCAGACAGAGGCGACACACACTGTCTTCCGACAGTCCAAGTCTCTGCATGTGATGATTCAAATGACAACAACCTGTAAGAAGGTCTGTTAGACATCGTAGTTCATCCCTACTGTAGTCCAACAACTGTTTGGAATCAAGCTTCGAAGGGTGAATAAACGCCTTGGAGTGAGCCAATCCTGGAAGATTCTGCCAGAAGTCCATAACTCTTCTTGGCATCCAGGTGTTCAGTGTTTGTTTGGCAAAGGCCAAAGCGATGCCAATGACAGGTTCTTGTCCAATGAAGCCACTTGCAGCACCCTCCTTTGCAAGAGAGTCAGCAGCTTCATTGCCTTCCAGGCCAGTATGGCCAGGAATCCAGACCAGAGACAATCTGTTTAGTCTTCCTATCGAGGAGATTCTTTTTTGGCAGTTTGGTACCAATTTAGACGTTGCTCGGTATGAGCCAAGAGCTTTCAACGCCGCTTGACTGTTCGAGAATATTTGTATTGACTTGTGAGTGAGGTTGGATTTATCCAATCTCTCCGCACACAATTCAATAGCGTAAATTTCCTCTTGAAATACAGTCGCATAAGTTCCTAGGCAGGTAGATAACTCTGTCCTGGGTCTGCGACTGAAAACACCTGCATCAGAACCGGAAGGTGTTTTTGATCCATCTTTGAACCAACAAGTATCTGCTCTTAATATTTCCTTCTCCCTCAGGATCCAGTCCTCTCTACTCGGGAATAGTACTTTATAAGGCAGTTCGTAGTTGACAGTTGGAAGCATAAAGTCAGAGGACATTTCCAGAATGCTGTGACTTCCAATGTCAACCAACAGTCTGTTGCACTTTGCATTGAATTGATTTGTGCAATTGGCAATGTGCACAAGTCTGTATGCAGTCCATCTATCCTCTCTTTTCAGAAAAATGTGGAGAGGAGGTAGATCTAGAAGGATGTCCATGGCCGCTGCCGGTGTGGTACTGATTGCACCACTGATAGCCAGACAAGCCTGCCTCTGTAAGCCAGAGAGCTTCCCTTGGGGCCGTTTTCTGTAAAGCCTTCGGCCACCAAGCAATTGCACTATAAGTGATCATTGGTCTGACAATCATCACATAAATCCAATGGATTTGTTTGGGACCTAAACCCCAAGTTTTATCACAAATCCTTCGACATGTCCATAGAGACAGTCTGGCTTTGTGTAAAACTTTTTCCAAGTGAGCGTTCCAGGTGAGTCTTTTATCAAGGACAATGTCAAGATATTTCACTTCCGTTCCAAATGGAATGACCACACCATTGGGGGAAAGTGGCGTTAGATCGTCCAGTTTCCTTCTCTTGGTGAAGGGGATTAACACAGTTTTGCTGGGGTTGACAGACATCTGCTCCCTCAGACACCAACTGTGAACAACGTCCAACGCGCTTTGGAGGATATTACAAGCTACCCTTCCCGACGTGGACCTTGCCAGGATGACAAGGTCATCTGCATAAGCCTGCAGATCAACTTTTCTTCTGTCGAGGGCATCAAGCAGATTATCCACCAGGAGCGTCCACAGAAAGGAAGATAGTACCCCACCTTGAGGGCAGCCCCTGGTGACCCTGAACCTGATAGCCTCGCCTTGAAGAGTCGTAGTTGCAGTTCTGTTTACTAGCATGGCATAGATCCAGCCAGTTATGGTCGATTCTAGACCCTTTCTAGCCAGAGACAATCCTATAGATATAGATAGTGCATTGTCAAATGCTTCTTCAATATCGAGAAATACAGCAACCGCAATCTCCTTGTTGCCAAGGGATTGGGAGATTTTCTCAACGAGGTTATTTAACGCTGAATCTTTCGATTTGCCGGTTTGATGGTTATTCAGTGGGGATGCATATAATGCTACCCTCCTGATATGTCTGTCCAGTATCCTCTCAAGTCCTTTCAGCAGGAAGGATGTAAGGCTGATTGGTCGTACCGATTTGGGGTGTGGGTCTCTCCGGCCTACTTTAGGTATATATATACCACCCTTGCTGCCAACCAACTGGGTGGTATATAGTTCCACGCCAGACTAGCTCTATACAATTTTGTGAGAATAGGTAAAATTATTTCCAGTCCGTTTTGAAGAAGAGTTGGAAATATACCATCCTCTCCGGGAGATTTGAAGGGCTGAAAAGACTTGATAGTCCATTCAACTGCCGGTGCTGTGATAACCTTTTTTGCGACGTCCCAGTCGTTCTTTTTTGGGCGTTTAGCGCCCTCGAAGATGGACGGTCTGTTGTTATCAAGAGTCAGATTTCCAGGAAAGTGGTTTTCTATCAAAAGCTCTAACGTTTCTTCACTTGAGGTCGTAAATGTTCCATCACGTCGTTTAAGCGACCCAATTTCAGCAGTCAGCTCTCTAGAGAGAATCTTGTGAATTCTTGCATTACGAGGTAAATCAGAGATACTCTCACAGAACTTCCTCCAAGACTCCCGTTTTGCCTTTCTAATTTCCTTGTTGTATGTCGTTAGAGTGGTTTTATAAAGCTCCCAGTCACCTGACTCTTTAGCTCGATTGAATAGTCGTCGAACTTCTTTTCTTTTACTTTCAAGGCTTTTGTTCCACCAAGAAGAGTTGCGGTTACCTCTTTTGACCCTCAGTGGACAGTTCTCATGATAGGATGAGATCACTGCTTCGCGAAATTGCGTCGCTACTGTATCCATATTATTACAATTGTGAATAGTACTGAGTTCGTCCTTAAAGTACGATTGGAGGGAGTTTTTATACCCTCATGATAGGATGTGATCACTGCTTCGCGAAATTGCGTCGCTACTGTATCTATATCATTACAACTGTGCATAGTACTGAATTCGTCCTCAAAGTACGATTGGAGGGAGTTTTTATACCCCCTCCAGTCAGTAGATTCCACTACTAATCTTAGACCTGTTTCAATATTGAAAAGAATATATCTATGGTCTGAACAAGAAGGTTCAGTAGAAACAGACCGATGGTGTATCTTGTTGCTCAGAGAATGTGAGCTGATGGTCAAATCTAATACCTCTTGCCTATTACTAGTGACAACAGTTGGATCCGAGCCCTCATCAATTACAGACAGCCCTTCCTCTAGTATATAATCATAGAGTAACTCACCCCTACGGTTTATATTCGTGCTGCCCCAAGCTGTATGGTGTGAATTGGCGTCACATACCATTACTTTTTGTAGTTTGTTCCTTTTGCTATAGTCGATAAGTCGTCTAAAAGCAAGAGGAGGTACAGTATCCAAATCACCCGGAAACTAGGCGGAGCAGGCGATAAAATTCGTCTTACCCTTCTTGCCCGATAGGGAAATTTGGATGGCTACCACGTCTTGCGTGCAGAAGCCTGTAAGCAAAAAATGGGTAATACCTTTTCTGAAGACCAGACATGCTCTGGGTTTCATCCCAGGGCACGCTATTACCTCACCAGGAATATTGTTCAGTCCGGTTACTAGGCCTGTATTTCCTGTCCATGGTTTCTGCAGGAAGGCAAGGTCGATTAATTCATCCTTGAAGTTTTTTCCAAGGACGTATGAAGCGGCCTTGGCATGTTGTAAGTTTGCCTGCAAACACGTGAAGATAACAAGTGTTGCCGCAAACTTAGAACTCCTCGACCCTAGGAGGGAGAAGATGGGGGGTCCTTAAGGACACCTCCACCCTCCTCTCCCGGGATCGAGGGATGTGTAGGCTCAGATGATTTATTGGATCTCTTTGACGAGACGATTTTCGTCTTCGTTTTCAGAGAGCCACGTCCAGCCTTTTTTCCCGGTTTACTCGACGAGACGTTGGCCGTCTTCGTCTCCTGAGAAACACCTGTTTTCCCGGCCTTGGGCTGGGTGTGAGCCGGTGGTTTACCCCTATGTTTGGGTGGAGGTTTGGTTGAACTCCTCCCATAGGTGGATTTCCACTCGGCCCCGCTTTATTTACTTTAACGGGTGTGACTCGTTTGAGTAGTTTCCTGCTGGGAGGGTGCCCGGGTTTTAGGGCGGAATAAGACCTGCTTAAAACGAAAATGTGGTCTGAAACCCGTCCTCGCCAGCATGGCCATGGATCTGCATGGATCTACAGTCTACAGCGAAGGTCCATGTTTGACCAGGGCCTGACTTTTCCTTGTGGAGGATCGTCCACTCCAGGGTTGACAGACCATGGTTCATTTTCCTCAATCTAGTGAGGACCTGTTCGGAGGTCAGTCTATGACTGGCCGTTAATGAGGTAGTCGGATAATCAAGGTGCTAGATTCCCACCTTGATGCCCGCGACAATCTTCCCATATGAGGGTTTTTGCACATCAGGTACACCTAACGATGACTTAGATTCAACCGTGCAGGGCTTTTTTGCCTCTGGTTTCGGTGAACCATCATTTGAGCGCAAACGTTTGCTAACCTGCTCAAGGGGGGTTTGTTCCCCCACCTGAGACAGAGTCTGCGTACGCCGCTCAAGAATTTGGTGCAAGGCGGTTTGATTTGGGTTACTTTTAAATTTCTGTTGATTTTCGTTAAGCTGACCATTAGAAGTACGATTCGAAGTCATCTCTTCTTGAATAGAATTTTAAACACTTTCCGGATAAATGAAGTTTTGAGTATTGAGATAGTTCACCTGGTTTTTATTTGCATTCGCAAAAGACATTTTAGAATTGGGTACCGGCAGATTAAGCACTGCCAAATTCTTAACAATCTTGGGAAGGTCACTTTTTGAACCTGTTTCATTGTTGTTGATATGCGGCGATAATGGTATTGCATTGTTTACATTCCCCAATTTCATTTCTGATACACAAAATTTCTTTACGAGTTCTCGAATGATGAAATTTTTATCTCTTTCCTCATAGGATCCTCATCAAGATTGTCTAAATCACTGGTGATATTTCCGTAATTCTTCTCAGTGTTACTTTGGATTTCCGAAAATTCAGCAAACGTTGGGTTGTCACAACACTTTGTTCTTTTCCGATACAAGCTATGGAATTTAGCATGACAACTATGGCACGCCACATTTTTTTTTACATTTCTGTTGTAATAATTGCATAATTCATTTATCACATCCGAACCCACGTTCGAACTATTCGCCACCTAGGATTTGTGTTAAAAGCACTCTCGAGTATGGCCAAAATATATCATTTTAAAACTATCTGTTTCTGTCTGTTTAAAATCTCTTTTTTCGTTAATCAGCTGTAGCCCCCCCTACGAACGACAACTATCAAAAGTCGAAACTTGTGCGAGCTAAGGACTAACAAGGCCTTACCTTTTAACGTGTGATTCCTTCATCAAAACTAACTATTTTGTAATTACTTCAATAAAAAACAAACGGCTCAATTTGGCTACCAATTTACTAGGGTGTCCTTCCCAAAATAATTTATCATCTATTGTAACTCCTAAAAATTTTATTGATTCAGTTTGCTGAATTATTTCTTGATTCATTTTTATAGTTATATTAGGATCGTAACTGATATTTTTAAATATTACTGAGGTTTTATCCCAATGCCAAACAGTTATTTTTAACACCTCGACAGGTGTTTCGGTCACTAAGTGATCATCTTCAAGAGGATATTTTTTGACAAACATTTCGTGAAAAATATTCGGTTGATATCAATAGATAATCCACTGTTGTGTATAATCCTGTTAGGTTTTTAATCAAAAGTTTGTTTTATATGCAAACACAATTTCTAAATCTGATTGTTTTCCTGACTTCTCTCAGCTAAATATGAGCTCAGCCAGTTATCACCTATTACTTTTACACCCAGTCTACGGTATCAAATGCCCGAATTAGGTCAAAGTAGAGCGCACGCGGAGTTTCCCTTCTATTCAACGTATCATAGATAAAAGGCATCTTCATGGTTGTCTTCATTTTGTTCACAGATCTGCTATCCTTTTTTTTGAATTTTCTAAATTGACTATACTAAGTTGTGTAGATCATGCAAAGAAGTAACTTTCTTCCTTTGGAATATTCCCACATTTTTTTGTATAAAGATGGAGAAATAGAAAGCCAAAACCTTTCTTCCCCAAAAATGTTTTTCTGTCAGGGTATCATTTGTTTTTTTTTATTTTGTTGCAAGTGGTGATCTGGCTTGTAATTCTTGTAGGTTCTCGAACATGGTTCCTTATATTATATTCCAGGAAGAGGTTTGTCATCATATCTTATTCTGGGTTGTTCATAAGAAAAAAATGCCATGCATTAATGCAACATTTGAAATAAAATTTCACATTCTACATGATATATTTGAAATGTTTCAATAAGTTTAGTGATACAGATAAAACTCCATAGTTAGAAAACGTTGATTGTTTCAAATAAAAATTGAAAACATTTTTAGCATATCAGAGCAATTTATGAACTTTAATACATTTATTTTGTCTTGATGTGAATTTAATTAATTTGTGTGAATTCATTATGTGAATTTATAGAGGAATAAATTATGTTACGCATTTTTCAACCATTTCAGTCTCGTGATTGATTAAACGGCAAAAAAATTGGGAGTTTCCAATGAGTATTACTACACACACCTTGCAACCCTGAAGAGGCATAAGCCTATAGCAGGGCCCCACACAAAATACACTATCACAAATACTTTGTAATTTTAACCAAAAGCTTGAAAAAACATTTTTGACTTGACTTGACTTGACACACCTTGCAAACGTCCAGTTATTTTGTTACTATACTTATCACTCTAAATTTGTTTTTGTTTTGTTTTGCATACTACCATTTAATGTTTTGCAGATTTGAAAGATGAAGATGTTTTGAAAGCTTTACAGTCCGCCAGGCAAGTAACAAAGCAGGAACTTCCCGATGAAGAGGAGGAGCTTGACGAAAAAAAAGATGACATGAGAAACTGCTTCGGATTTGATGTAAGTCACCATAAAATTGAATAGATTTTCCTTTTATAATGTAATAAAAGTGATAATTGTTTTTTAAAAATTTTTTCCAACAGGAGGATGAAGAGGATGATGAAGATACTAGGCCAGGAAAGGAAACTATTACGCTTCTTAGTAATATTGGCTAATATTTAGGATTTCAAAATTTTTTCATTTTGCTAATTCACCTAATCCTAAGTTTGGATAAGATATTAAAGTAATTGTTTTTTTCTTTATTTGATTTTTTTTTAATGATCATTCTTCATGATCATTTTTACTTGTAAATTTTTGTAAATAAACACTTTTACATTTCATTCTGTATATGTTTTTTATGTATTGAATGATATGTTACTTTTGAATAGTAAAAATTCACATGATTCACTCGTTTTCTTAATTAGTTTTCAAATCAGTATATGGAAATTTAATTTTCATAATGTAGTAGTTTCAATGAAGAAAGGCTATTTGAAGGTGATTGACAATGTTTCATGATGAATTTCACTAGTTCGGACTTCCATTATATTATATTAACCAAAATAAACTTGAAATGAAATAATAGTGAAATAAAATACAAGTAAAAATAGAACAATTGAATAAATAAAAATAAAGAAATGAAAAAAGAAAATAAAAATAAAAAGTGGAGAGATTCCAAGTCACGTTAGTTCACGACGTTTCGATTGTTAGTATCTACAATCGTCTTCGGGTGATGACTGGACTGATTCCTCCGAGAGATGACTATTTATAAGTCGTTCGAGTACTTTCACAGTGAAGCGGAAAATGGACCTATAAATAGTCATCTCTCGGAGGAATCAGTCCAGCCATCACCCGAAGACGATTGTAGATATAGATTGTACAAAGTTGTACCAAGTCAAATATAATTTCTTGAATAAATACCTATGTTTGATGCAACTAGGCGTACTTTTTACAGAAAACAAGTATTTTGGGCATAAATACCAGGGATAACTTATACACTTCCCCAAATAGCATTCATCCAACTTATATTCGGGGGTTTACACTTGAATACAGTCACGAATAGTTCTTGAATACATTTTCTCTGTTTGAAAATGGACTTAATGGTATACTTGCCTTTGGATCACTAGCTGTTGGTCCTGCTTCAAGCCAGATTATGTGCCGAGAAAATCTATCTATGCAACCATTTATGCAAATACCATAAGGCTTCAATTTATCATACGAATCAACGTGCCATAAATAATTAGGTCCTTTATTATGGTACTGTCTGCGACGTAATCGTCTTCTTTGACGAAGGTCAACGCCTTCTGGATCGAGTAGCTTCAAAACATCTCTAACAACATGCTGTGTAACAACGAAATTATTCTGCAAACAACGCAAATGCATCCACTTGTAACCATGAAGTTGACCAGATTTATTTATTTCGTTCTCTATGAAATGTACAATATCTTCTATTTTGGAATAGTTGATGCGCCTGAATAGTTTCAAATGCGAAAGTTTTCTCTTCAGAGTTCGAGGCGATATTTCTTTTCCATGTAAAATTCTCAGAAATGATATTATTTCTTTTTGATGAAATCCCAAAGAAAAATATTGCTCAATTAAATCCTCGGTACTTTGATTCTGAAATGAAATAAAGAAAGCATATGATCGGATATAGTTTGTTCAATTAAATTTAATTGAAAAATGGAATAACTTATTCAGTGAAGAATCCTGTACTGACACCTGTCAGATATAATCCAACGCCCTTCGTGGTATTAGCCAGGGGAGTAGTTGTTTTCTGATAGGTGTCAGTCCATTAACCTACAGTGTAGGGAGTTGAGACTGGCTTGAACAAATTGTTCTTTTAGAAGATTTAATCAAATGGATTGTGTAAATCATTTACATTTTATGTTTCGGTAATAATTCGCTACAAAATGCCTAAGTGCCAACTGTCGTCTGTCTCGAGGGTCACCGATTAAAGACCAGTCAAGTTCGAATGTATGCCTTTTCCCTGAACAACCAAGGCATATTCTGCTATAGAAGCCGTTTCTTGTTAAATAATTCCTCAAAACCAACTATTCTATATCCTTTCCTATATTGTAGAATAAGTGTGACTTGATGCTCATTTCATCGAAACAAATGTTGCAATCCTTATCTTGATTACTGAAGTTATTGATTTTTATTCACTCCACCATATATGGTCTATAACAATTTATTTTATGATTTTCGTTATATGTTCATTACTTCAATCTTACATAATATATAACAGAAAAACATACCATTTTTCGTTAATTGGAAATCGAAAAAAAATAATGCCGACATCACCCTGTAAATTACAGCAACATACAGCTCGACACTTGTTGATTTTGAAACTAGACACAAATTTTTCACAAATACAAAACCACCACTTACAACAACTCACTCTGTAATAATATTCCATGCCTCAATTTGGCTCGCTTGGTTAACGTCTCAGATTCAGTCGGTTGCGCTGTAGTGTCCTCCAAAATGGTTTGTGTTTGGCGGACGGGAGGGGTGCTCGTAGTCCAGCCAGGTGCGCTGGACGTCACCTTCCCACACTCCATGCACCTCGGTATAGGCGGAGGCGTGCATAGCCACACCGACCCCGCTGGTTACCTTGGTCACCGTTTCATCTCGTCGAGACGGCTGGCAGGCCTCTCAGACCTGAGTCCCAGGGATTTCGGGACTCAGCTTCTGTCTGAGCTCGACGGGAGGCTGGTTCGTTGCGTCGACTAGCTCGTTGTAAACTCTTATCTGGTTGAGCAACTTCGCCCGCCATGAAGGCATCCCCAAGGCCCCGCTGCCTTCAGGATGCCCACCTGGCATTCCACCTCCCCCTAGCACTTCCGATAGGGCCTCAGTTGCTCCTTCACGAGAGAAGTAAGGCGCTCCTGTGCGCCGATCATCTCCCTCCCAGGAACCGCTAAGGGTTTGGACCTGGGGGCGTCGCGACGCCTGGCGTCGGACGACCTGTCCGTCGTGTCCATTTCCGCGTTTTACGCCCGACGGCGACCCGTCGAAGACACATCCCGCGTCGAAGTACCCATCCTCCAGGTACTCGTCCCTGATGATGTCCTCTTCACTTCCGAAACCCTCCGGGTTTTGGGAAGCCTTTCTGCGTTTAACGCCCGCCGGCGACTCCTCTTCATTCCCGAAATACTCTGTATTTCTGAAAGCGTTTCTGCGTTTTACGCCCGCCGGCGAATCCTCCCTGAAGAGTCCCACGTTGCACTCGAAACGTCCTACGTCTCGAGTGTGTTGGCTGCTCCTGCATGAACTCTTAGCTGAGGTCGACAATGGCCTTGTAAACTCGAAATTGGTCAGTGGTACAGGATGGCTGTACACCCTGTACATGTTCACTTTAGGTGTTTCCACATACGTGGCTAACACCTCTCGTTGCCTGAAAGTATTTACATTTTCAGATAGAATTGCCGTTGGAGGGATTCCATCCTCCATCTTCCTCATCGCCACCGATCTCGGTATAGCGGGTTTTCTCGTTGCGTTTAGCATAGCGCGGAGCCCTAACTGGGGCGCGCTTTGTGCTTTCGAAGTTTTTCCCTTATTGGGAAGCTTCTCGGAAAACATCTCCTGATGTTCCCTCATTTTCCTCCTGGAAAATGCTATTCCGCTGGTTCTCCGGAGTTTTAAATTCCCTAATTCGGTTTAATAAATCTTGACTTCGCGAAAGTTTATCGCGATTTGAGGACTGAGTCCTTTGAGAAGTTTCGCTCTTGCTAACTAATCGACTTGCAATGGAGCCGAAAGTGCCAAGGTTTTGTCGCTCTGCGACCACGGAAGAGGTACTAGTGTCCTCGTTGATCGAAAAGTTTCGGTTAGCATGAGACATCCTCAGACTAGATGTCTCAGCTGGAGTTCTGGGAATACTGCGTCCCGCGAACACAGATTCCATTGGGGTTTCTCGTCGCTCTGTAGAAGTCGCACTAGGGCGACTGAAATTGTCTGACTCAGGAATAATTTGGTCGAAGGGTTTGACCACGCGATTTTTCACTGCCGTATCCATTGCAAGTTGCGCTCGCGCTTGTTGTGCCCTAGTCTGCATTTTTGTGTTTCAAAAATCCCTACCATGACTCTGACTTGGAGATAGGCAGAGGGGAGGATTCACAGAAAGCTAAGACTTTAAGTTCACTCTTGGGTCGCGAAACTAATTTCCTAACCAAGGCCTAGAGAGTGAACTGAGCTAACAAGTAAGGATCACGGAGCCTAACGGTTGAACCGCACCCTAGGATGAGGGCCGTCCGCAGGAAAGTGGATAAAAGGTTTCGAAGTCCTGGAAGGTCCCAACGGTAACGTTGAGTCGACAGCCCAGAGGCTAGTCTAATGATGGCTTGACTCCCCCGCTTTAACCTCTATATACCAGGCCAGTTAGCACCGCAAGGTTAGCCTTAGTACCTGAGGGTGGGCAACTTTAGTGGAGACCTACTTTTCCTTCGTAGGATTTTGGACAGCTTCCCCTGGCGTGCCGTAAGGAACCGCAACTCTGAAACGAAAAAAAATTCCGCCAGCAATCCGCCCTGACCTGAGTCCACTTGACTCCGGGAAACCGCTACTCCAAGTCTGCTCCAGCCAAGTCCAACACTGCGACTGCACACGAAGGAAACCTCTGAAACGACTTCTAGAAAAATCCTCCTGTGAATCCCTAATCGAAAATTATCTCTATTGAGTCCTAAGAAGGACTAGAGATCGAATTCTTTTGAAGTTCCTACAAAATCGGAAAAATCCTCCAAGAAAAATCCTCGATGTCCAGATCTAAGTCCAATTGACTTTCCTCGTACTCCCGAACTAAGTCCAATTGACTTCCTGGTCCAATCCTCAAGTGTCTCTATTCAGTTCTGAAAAGAACCAGAGACTGCGAATTCATTTATTTGAAAACCTCCTGAAAACGGAAAAGTATTTCTCTATTTGGATCTGAAAAGATCCAGAGAAATTATACGAATTCTATTTGACACTGTCACCTGAAAATCGGAAAAAATTATTAGCGAATTCCTTTAGTTCTAAAAAGAACTAAAAAAACCAAAGAATTCTCTCAGTTCTAAAAAGAACTACAAAATATTGATGAATCCTTTGAAATATCCACGAAGAATATCCAATAATCCAACTGTAGTAATCGCTTTCAAATGCTAGCCAATCAATCGCCAGTCAATTCTCGTAAAATAGAAGTCTTTCCAAATATCGATATAACGTGTTCTCAATCTGAAAAGTATCTGAACGAAGAATGTAAAACTCTGCATATTTATATGTTTGTGGACGAGCTCTAATCGGCCAATCATATCTCTCACAAAATCACATCCACTTCGATCGACTAGAAAATCAATAATCACGACATGCCCACCAACCAATCAAAAGCCGGCTATCCGGTGACCTGTTTTTGCCCGGGGGCGAAACCGTTGCGAACA